GACCCTTCCGGAGCAGGGCGGCTGCCAGGGCGAGACTGTCCACGGTGAGAGGCCATGGCAACATGCCCCGTGCTGCAGCGCGCCGCTCCCACCAATGCACATGCGAAGCCTGCGTGGCACGCGTCCCTAGTGCGAACATGGCGCCCTGTAGCCCCTCGAGCGCCGCGGCGTCCCCAAATGCAGCGTCCAACCCTGCCGCGGACCCCCGCGAATAAGGGCCCGGGCGCGCAGGACCCCTGCGAGCCTCGAGGGGAGGTGTCGCCGGGACGCAGGCAGACGCGCGCGCGATCCCGCGGCCCCCGGCAGGCCGCGCCTCCTCCTCCTCCTCCGCCTCCTCCTGCTCCGCCGCGTCCTCCGAGGCCTCGGAACTGGCAGGCAGAATGTCTAGGTTGGTATTGGCGCCTGCCTCAGGTGCCCGCGCCGCCGCCCGCGCCATGGCGCCGGCAGCCGCGGCGCTGGCTGGGAGCGATCTGGAAACCGCCGGATGCTTCGCCGAGGCCGGGGCCAACACAGGAGGATGACGAAGATACGCCAGGCCAAAACCAGGCACAGGACCACCGCGATGATGCAGAAGGTAGGCGTTGTAGTACTCCTGCAGCGTGGCTGCCCTGAATGGGCGTCCGTCTACCGGCGGAGGCGCAGACGGACGAGGCACCTGCTGGGAGAAAGTGCTGCGACGTGGGTCAGCGTGCACAGGCGAACGTACCAGCAAGGGATGACCAAAAGCAAAGTGAGATGCAGAACGACCGCCCCCTCCCACCTGAACATTCGAGTTCGCGGCAGCACGAGGCGGAAAACCAGACAGAAAACATGGCGGCATCACGCGCCCTTCAGGCAAGGGCGCAACACGCACGCATGCGCATGGCCGAGCCGAAACACTACGGACGCGGCGACGGCGGACACGAGATGGCGCCACCGCATTTTCCTTCCAGGCAACGTGATGCGATGGGCGAGCTATCGGCCACGCGGCCGGGACAGGTTAACAAATTGTCCCCCCGCTCTGGGCGCACACGCTAGCTGGCGCGGGGTGCTGCCCCGGCCGAGCAGCCGCCCCAGGAGACGGGCGTGCGGCGACGATGGACGAAGAGGCGAGATGAGGGCGCAGCACCTCACCCGTCAGGCAAAAGGATGCGATGGGCAAGTCGCCACACCCCTGGGTGGCTTTAAAACGGGATCGCCCCGTGACTTGCCGCCAGCATGGGGTGCTGCCCCAGCCGAGCCGTCACCCCAAGATGACTTTAGGCGGGGGCCCCCCGCGGCTCGGGACGACAGGACAAGGCGACACACAGAGTCGCCGCCCACGCCACCCACGCAATGGCCCCGGGCACGCGCAAGGGCAGCGCCCCAGACTTGGGCAGACGCCGCGGACAGGGGCGGGAGGACGAGACGAGGCGAAAGGGGAGGGAGGGGAACGGAGGAGGGCAGGCATCCCCCGGAGGCGGGTGCCAACGTACACACCGTTCAACCAATACACAGCCACCACCCATGGGTGGTTTGAAAGCGGGGGCTCCCCGCGGCTGTGCCGAAACGTTGCCGGATCCAGGCCGGCACCCACGGGTGCCTATCACAGCGGGGCCTCCCCGCGGCCCGGTTCGCTGCAGCGCGCGGCGCGCGAAACAGCTGGGCACAGCACGCTCCACAGATGTGTTTCTCCACGACGCCGCGGAGCCCCGCAAACTAAAGGAGCCGGATGGATGCGGCCGCCCCCGTCCGTCCACACCCTCATCCCGCAGTGCCGCTGCGAGGGCCCAGCTATAACGATATTATACACACTATACGTTCACGGTCTGCGGCGTCCGAGGTGCTGCCTCGTCCGCGCCAGACGGACTGCCCCGCGGGCGCGCGCCGCTCACCTGCGCCTCGCCTCCGCGATGCGGAACTCCGGGAGGGAGAATGCGCAGCGCCGCACGTCCTGCAGGAAGGGCGGGAGGGTGGCACCTTCGCCCAGGCGGCTGAGGTCATCAGCGAGCGTGTTGACCTCACTCGAAATGTGGAAAGACTCCAAATCAACGCCGGCCCCTGCGATGCGCAAGGCGATCTCCGAGAAGTACACGCTGATGACAGGGTCCTTGGAGGCCAACCGGACAGCGCCTTGCAGGACCCCCTGCGCGTCGCCAACAAAGCTGACCCCGGCATGCACGTGCGAAATGACAGGCCACCACATGATGAACGAGGCGAGCAGCACGAACGCCTCCCAGCGCGCCTGGCTGCCGGGGTCGCCGACGACAGCCTGCGCGGCAGCTGCGTGAGACCTGCCCCACTGGACCTCGGTGTACGCGTACGGACGCACAGAAAACGGATGTACCACAGCGTGTGGGGCCACGTACAGCAGCGCCCCTCCACCTGTGGTCGATGCGTCAAACGCCACAGTGAAATGCAGAACCGGGTCCGCTGCGCGGACGACCCGGGAAAATGGGCCAGCGGAGCCTGTCGCAAAGGCCCGGAGCCAGGTGAGGGCCCGTGCAATCTGCCTTCGGCCAACGCGCTTGCCGGCTGGCGCCGTGCACTGGGCAGCCCAGAGTTGCTGCACGAACGGCCGGAGCTGCGGGAGGAGCCCAGCGATCCAGGACGCCCGGCCCGCAAGACGGCGCACGTCGCGCAGCGGCGCCCACCGCACGGAGGCTAACTGGTCCACGGCCTCCAGCAGCTCCACGCGCTTGGACTCCGGGAGCGTGATGACGACGCGGCGGGCTGCAGAGTCCGCCGCAATGGATGCACCAATCCAGTCGACTGCGGAACCCCGCCTGCCTTTCTTCCACTGCAGCCGCAGTCGGAGGGCGGCCCACAGCAAAACCGCGCGGCCGAAAATGAGCCCCCGGGCAGATTTGGACCCTGACGCCACCAGGAAAGTCGGCAGCGCTCTGATCCAATATCGACGCGGTGATGCGCATGGTGAGAGCAGCAAGGCGCCCCCACAGCAGCGGCCCGCTAACGATCCCAAACAGCACCGTCTTGTAGGCGAAGTAGCCGCCAGCGCCCTGCCCAGCGACGAAACGACGTTCACCTTCGCCCACTTTGAGCACCTTGAAGGCGCTCTCGAAATCTAAGACCATGAACTCGACCTCGTCGCCAGGTTGCTGGGTGCCCAGCAGGCGCCGCGCTGCCTTGGCCACATCGGACATCTTCGGCAAAACGATCCGCTCGTACAAGCAGATGTTGCGGTTGACGCCCGACCGGCTGAGATCGTGTATAAGCCTGACTTTGACGTACGAACCCCTGTCCTTGACGAGGACGGCGAGCCGGCTCAGAGTCGGTTCGCCCACAGCCGTGCACAACGCTTCAAGCGTCGGGTACAAGTCAGCAAAACCCTTCCCCACCTCCGCCTGCAACTCGGCGTCGGCGGCCTCGCGGTTCTCCGCGTAGCTGGTGTAATTGCGGAAGCCGCCAGACAGGACGACTGGGTCGGCATACAGCTCAGCAGCGCGGTCCGCCTCGTCCTCTGAGACGCGGGAGAAGATGCCGCACGTCGGAATCGGCTCGACGATCCCCAGCGGCGCGTGAGACTTGATCCACGCCGGGACATGGACCTCCGGGTCGCCCGCGGCAGCGACGAGCGCCTCGTAAAGGGCAGCGCCCAGACCCTCGTCTGCAGACTCGGCCAAGGGGCCGAGGCCCACGGCAGCGCGCACTGCTGTCGAAGCCGCGGCCGCGACTTCGCCCGGCAAGCCTTCCGCCCCAGGGTCCCCAAGCTGGGCTAGAGCAGCGAGCACCTCCTCGCGATGCGCCGCGTAGACCTGGTCTATCGCGCTGCGCAGCCGCGCGCCGACAGGGAGCCACCCGGGCACCTGCTGCAAGGAGAGCGCAGGCGACCTCGTGCCGCCGATGGCCGCGTCATTCTCCCGCTGGCGGCGCCTCTTCCGCGTGTCGGGCGCGCCCGCGTCGACCCGCCCCTGCAAGACGATATGCGCCGGGGCCGGCGGCGCTGGGAGACATTGCCCGCCCGCGCCATATGCGGCGGCCATGGCCTCGCAGAGATCCTCTGGCGGCTCCGCGCACAGGGCGCGCCGGCTGACGAGTCGCCCACCCGTGGCCAGGACTTTGCCGTCTGGCGGCGAATGGTGCAAGTGGCTGGGCGCGCCCAGGCAGACGCGCATGACCTCGGAGAGGAACGCCGCGTTCCCGAGGATGCCCGTGGGCACGACATGTGAGCAACCGTAGCAGCAGAGGTCGCACCGGCGAAGCTGTGCCCCAGCCAAGCCGGCCAGCCGAAGGAACGCCGGCGTCTGCCAGATGCGCGACCTTGCCAGGAATGCCAGTGACCACCAGCCCCCGGCACGATGCTGTGCCTGCGCAAGCGCGGCCACGTGTCTGGAGAGCATGTCGGGCGCGGCGCCCCCGCGCGTGTCCGCGCGCGACGCAGCGCCGCTGCGTGGCGGCGGAGCGCCATGCAGCCATCTGACACGGCCCCTCCGGATTTCGGCCTGCAGCTTCCGGAAGACGTGGGGCTCGCGCAAGTCCACCGCCACGCTGGCAGCGCTGCCGTCGCCGCTGGCCCGGAGGATGCCAGTCGGAGTGGCCGCGGCGAGCCCCCTCCGCGCGACGGCGCGCGTGAGCGCCTCGCTTCCCCCAGAAACATCTAGGAACGCGGAGAGACCTGCAAGCCGCGCGGCCTCTGCCTGGCACGGCGAGACCTGCGCCGCCGGCTCTGTGTTGGACGCGCGCGGCCGCGCCTGCCCGAGGCGCCCGGGCTGCGGCGCGTGCCCCGGGCTCTCGGTGCGCGCGAGTCTGGCGGCTGCAGGCGACGAACGTGCCAGCTGCTGGGCACCGCGGCCGCCGTTGCGTTGCTTTGACCGTGCCGCGGCCGCTGCAGCGCGCCTCGCCTGCATGCGCACGCAGTCCGCCGTTTTCCGAGACAACGGTCTGGCCGCCCGGCGCACCCGCCAGGGCCCCGCCGTTGCCCTGTCATCCATGGCGAAACCGCATGTGTCCACCGCAGCAGCAGACCGAGGGCCGGCAAACGCGTCTCCGACGCTGCTGCCGCCTGCCGGCCCCCCGGCGCTTCACTTGGACGCCGCTGATTTGCTGGTGCCGCCACCCTTGCCGCCCTTGCTGCCCTTGCCGCCCCGCGGCTGCCAGCCAGGGTGCGCTGGGCAGTGGATGGTGCGGTGGCCTGTGCGGCAGAACTCGCACGTGTGCGACCTGCGGTTGGGGCACTGGCCGTCGACGCAAGCCCCGTCGCGACCCCAAAGGAAGCAGAAGTCCTTTCCGTCGGCCGCCAGCTTCCAGCGGCCATCGGGGTGCTGCTCCGCCAGGCGCGGGTCCGCCGGCCGCGCCGGTGTTGTCCCGTAGGCAGGGCGGGGCGGCTCTGCCTGCCTCCTGTCGGCCTTCCGGCGCCTCTTGGCTGCCGGGGCCGACTCCGCAGGCTGCTCTGGCTGCTGGAACGCCAGGGAAGGCCTGGTGTGTGCCGCGTGGAGCTCCTTGAGCGCCGGGGTGAGGAACTCGTCCTGCCAGAAATCCGGGTCCGTGGCCGCTGCCTTGAACACGGTGTTCCATGGCATGCTGGTGTCGAGCTTGCTGAACGCCGGATGGTCTGCAGCAATCTGTTCCTGGTTCCGGCGCTCCTCTACCATCCATTCCAGGCGGCGCCTCTGGTCCGCTTGGGCCGCCAACGCCCAAGAGTTCGGGAACATGGTGACCCGCTCCCGGAACTTCGCCGCGTAGGTGTCTAGAGTGCTGGGCAGGGCGACCGCGTCCATGATCGCACCAGTCCGGAAGACCCTCCAGCACTTCTCCCAAGTCTCGAAGCAGTCCGGGCCGCCGATCTCGACAGACCGCCAGGTCCCGTCGGCCTGGAGGATCTGGGCCACGAACTTGTTGCGACCCTCGGAGCGCAGCTGGTGCGGACCCCACACGCCGAAGTCGACGTAGATGCCCGGCCCGTGGCGTGAGCTGCGCGTCACTGACCTGCTCGGATTGGAGCAGGGGATCCCCCAAAGCCAGGAGCCCGCTTCGCCGCCAACGCCTCACGGTCCAGCATTGGAACCTCCATGTCCCGGACCTGGTCGAGCACCATGCTCAGGCGCACCTTCGGCCCCGCGACGGCTGGCTGTGCTGCAGCTGCAGCCTGCATACCCGCCGCTGGCGCCACCGCCGGGGCCGGCGGTGGCATGAGGTCCACCAGCGGCAGGTGGAGCTTGAGGCGTGCCGCATTGACGAGCATGCACACCCTCATCCGGTCGACATGGGTTGCCGGACTGAGGGATGCAACTGCCGCCTCATGGATGTGCGGCGGTATGGCGGCCAACACTGGAATCGCATTGAAGTGCGGGTCCCCGAGCGCGGTCATGTAGGCTGTGAGGATGGGGGCGGGGACCGAGGCCCACGCCGCGACCGCAGCGATGTCCGCCCACCCTGCGATGACGCTGTCGCCTGGGTACAACGCGCGACCTGCCATCGCGTGGCCGGCTGCAGAATAGCTCACGCCAGCGAGCACAGCCAGCAGCCGGACATGGAAGACTCCCCCCTGAACGAAGGCATGCACTCGAGCCAAAATGGTTACGGACGGAAGTGCTTCTCCCACCCGCACCATCCCGGCAAGTCTGTCCAATGTTACCAATGATAAGTCTTATCTTGTACTACAATTTCAATCTCCCCCAACGCTTCGGGATACGAAAAACCGACAACCGCGAATAAGCTTCCCATAATGTTGCTTAGTTCCCTCCCCGCCGCCACCACGCAACACGGTGCCCGACAATCGCCTTAGGCGAGACTACGAGCAGCTCCCCAGCTTACCGCCGATCCAATTCCGCTTATATACGTCGGCAATAATGTTTGCGGCTATACGCGACACTAACGCCAAAACCGACGCCCGGGAGGACTCCCAAGTCGGCGCCTACGTCGGCACCAGCGTCTGCGCCTATGCCGGTACCAACGCCAACACCGACACTTGCGACGACTCCCAAGCTGGCGCCTACGTCCGCAGCAACGTCTGCACCTACGCCGGCCGCCGGCACCAACACCAGCACCAAAATCTGCGACGACTACACCATCAATGCCTCCACAGACACTCAGGCCGGCGCCTATACGTCGGCAGTAACGTCTGCGTTTCCACCGGCACCAACGCCAACACCGACGCCTGCGACGACTTCCAGGCCCGCGCCTACGTCGACAGCAACGAATGCGCGTACGCCGGCACCATCGCTAGCACCAACACTTGCGACCACTACACCATCAAGCCCACGTCGGCAACAATGTCTGCGCCTACGCCGGCACCAACACTGGCACCGACGCTTGCGACGACTCCCAGGCCGGCGCCTACGTCCACAGCAACGTTTGCGCCTACGCCGGCACCAACGCCAACACCAACACCTGCGACGACTACACCATCATTACCCCCACCGACTCCCAAGCCGGCAACAATGTCTGCGCCTACGCCGGCACCAACGCCACCACTGACGCCTACAACGACTCCCAATCCTGCGCTTACGTCCACAGCAACGTCTACGCCTACGCCGGCACCAACGCCAGCACTAACACCTACGACGACTACACCATCAACGCGTCCACCGACTCCCAGGCTGGCGCCTCTTTGGCACTAATGTCTGCGCCTACGCCGGCACCAACGCCGGCATGAGTGCTATCGACGCCACCGCCAACACCCGCGCGCACGCCATACGCCACCATCGACGCCAGCACCAACGACAATATTAATGCCGGCACCTACGCCGCCATGGACACCATCGCCTACACCAGCACCGATGCCAGCATCGAAGCCGGCACCAACACCAGTGCCGACACCAACAATCGCCGGCGCCAGCACGTACACCAATACCAGCGCCAACATCGACGCCAACGCCATCGCCCGCACCTACGCCGGCACCACGGCCAGAGCCTATACCACCGTTGACGCCAGCACCGACATTATCACGAACGCCGGCGCCTGCGCCGACATGAACACCAAAGCTTACACCAACACCAACGCCAGCATCGACGCCGGCATTAGCGCCCGCGCCTACGCCGGCAGCAGCGGAAGTGCTTGTGCCGGCACCCACGCGTGCGCCTCAGCTGGCACCAATGCCATCACCTACACCAATGCCGACACCAGCATCGCCAGCGCGAGCGCCAACGCCTACAGCATCGACGCCAGCCCCAGCGCCTGCGCCTACGCAGCGCCAGAGCCTGCGCCATCGTCGACGCCAGCACCGACGACAACACCAACCCCGGCGCCCACGCCGGCATGAACGCCAGCGCGTACACCAGCACCAGCGCCAACATCGACGCCGGCACCAGCGCCCGCGCCTATGCCGGCACCAACGCAAGTGCTTACGCCGGCATCCACGCGTGCGCCTCTGCCAGCACCAACGCCACCACCTACAATGCAGACACCCGCATCGCTGGCATGAGCGCCAGCGCCCACGCCAGCACCAGCGCCAGCATCGACACCAGCGCTAACGCCTGCGCTTATGCCGGCACCAACACCAAAACCTACGCCATCGCCCGGCGCCGGCACCGACGACAACACCAACGCTAGAGCTTATACCGGCATGAACGCCAGCTCCTACACCAGCACTAGCGCCAGCATCGTCGCCAGCTCCGATTGCAAGGCAGGCGTTTACGCCAGCGCCAGCGCCGACACCACCGAGGCTTCCACCTATAAGGATGCCAATGTTGTGCACTATGCCGACACCGACGACAATGCCTACGCCAGCTCCGGCGCTTGCACCAACGCCTGCGCCTACGCCGGTCCTTACGCCAGTGTCGACACCCTCGACCCCAGCACCGACTCCCAAGTCGGCCCTTACGCCAGCACTAAAGCTAACAATATCGATGGTTGCGCCTATGCTGGCACGAATGCCGTGCATTGCGCAGATGGCAACAACAGCGCCTACTTCAGCTCCAACGCCAACACCAACACCCACGCCTACGCTGGCACCAACGCCAAATTCGACACCATCGACGCGTGCACTGACTCGCAGGCCTGCGCCTACGACAGCACCAACGCCAGCGCCAACAGCTCCGAATCGTGCACTTATGCCATGCACTGCGTTGACCACAACGACAGGGCCTACACCAGCTCCGGCGCTAATACCCACGCTTGCGCCTACGCCGACACCATCGCCAACGTCGACACCATTGACGCCGGCACCGGCTCGATGACGCCGGCACCGGCTCGAAGGCCGGCGCCTACGCTAACATCAGCAACGCCAGAACCTACACCAGGTCCGACGCGGGTACCCACTACGCCGGCACAAACGCCAGCGAAATTATTACTACGAGCAACAACGACTACTACGGGCACCATTCCGTACCAAAATGTATGGAGATGCCGGGGTACACGTTATTATACTTATACGTTGGAGTATCGGGATTGTGCCCAACAATAACGGTTACTCATTACGCCGACCACGGACGACATATCTCTATTACGACGGTTCCCTTCACGGTATGGGTTTCCAATGCCTATCTTCCGAACGCTTTCCCCCCACCCTCCGATCCCTCCGTCCTCCGATCCCTCCGCCCTCCGTTCCCCCCACCTTCCAATATTTTCCGCCCTCCGATCTGCATTCCGATGTCCTTGATCCCTCCGCCCTGCGAGACACCTGTCCTTACCGCTTTGCCCGTGGCTCCCACCGTAATAGGCCCAGACTCCGTGGGCACAGGAAGGGAAGGTCCCCAAAGAGGTTCTCGCAGAAAGCCCGTCAACACAACAATAAATCATATTGATTTTGTCATCATTCCGACTCCGGCTCCCACGTCTGCGGCAATCATTTCGAAAATGTACGACCAACGGTGGGTACGTAAAATTACTCAAAATATATTGGGCTGGGCATGGTTCGGCTATGCATGGCACAATCTACAACATCAACTTTGTCTTCGGCGATTCCGTACAAGACCGTACACTGCAATATTGATATTTGCAATTGAGGTTCAATATGGTGTACACGATATCTATTCAATGTCCGTCGTGCCATCGATCCACGAACTCCAAATGCGGACAAACTATTGGTACATATGGGACGCTCCGATCATATTACCGATATTTGGGTATGTACCGGGCATTCTTTACTTACGATATCTGTGGCGGCATTCGATGTGTGTGCAAACGCATTACAATTGGCGCCACTATCCCTGCACAAGTAAATTGTACATATCAATATATATATATATATATTATATATATATATATAGATATATCTAACGCTTCGCGTATCCCGACCAGCCCGTCCAGAAATGAGTCCCAGGGAGTGGAGGTGATGAGGGAAGCGGGGGAGCATGCAGAAGAACAAAGGGCGGGGTAAGCCGCCAAATGCCCCAAGAGGGGGAGGATGTAGGAGGAGTCGTCGTGATCGGAGTAGGACGAGGCAGAGGAGCAGGAGGATCAGCAGGAGGAGGGGGAGGAGGAGGAAGAGGAGGAGGAGGAGGAGGAGGAGGAAAATGAGGAGGAGGAGATGGAGGAGGGCGAGGACGTGGAGGACGAGAAGGAGGAGAGGAGGAGGAGAAGGAGAGGCGGAGGAGGGGGAGGGGGAGGAGGGAGGAGGGAGGAGGAGGAGGAGGAGGAGGAGGAGGAGGAGGAGGAGGAGGAGGGGAGGGGGAAGAGGGAGGAAGAAGAAAAAGAGGAGGAGGAGGAGGAGGAGGAGGAGGAAGAGGAGGAGGAGGAGGAGGAGGAGGAGGAGGACAAACTAGGTGCGCTCGCGTCATATCTGACATCCTACCCCTCCCTCCCATCGCCGAGGCCAGGCAGAGGTAGGAAAAGCAACCGCTCCAACACGGTCTGGTGGATCGGCGAAGGCGTCTTCACCACGGGCCTGGCGTTCTGGTCGCAGCGCACGTTCGGGTTGATTGGGCTCGGGGCGGTGGTCGGCTACAAGGCCTGGAAGGCCCTCGGCGTCGGCGACCTGATCAGCTCCACGATCGAGCTCGTTAGGGACGTGGGCGACTTCTTCGACGAGATGGACGAGCGGTACCAGAACGCCCGTGTGAAATACGACGCCGGCGACTACGACCGTGTCCTTCTGTGCCTCCCCATCCTCCTCTGATTGCTCTTGGTGTTGTGGCCCACCGTGAAGAGTCGAAGGGCTCGTGGGAGAGGCTGGCTGAAGATCGGCGAGGAGACGGACTCGGACTCGTCAACTCCGGATGAAGGCACGGCGGCCCTGGATTCCGATGACGACGCGCTGAGAAGCCGCCGCGACAGGGCCCTGGCGATGCTGTTAAGTTCCCAGTCACACTTGCAGACCCAAATGTCAGAGGCGACGATAGGGGCGAATAGCCCAGGGCAGAGCAATACATGTATCCAAGTGTGCCGATGATCTGTGTCTTCGAAAAGGCTCCCGGGCGAAAACGTGTAATGCCCACCCCTGGGCTATTCGCCCCTATCGTCGCCGCCGAAGATGGACGAGCTCAGGCGTTTGCCGAAGGAAGGCCCGGCGGCTGCGGGGTCGACTTCGTCGACGAGGGCGAAAGCGGGATCGGCTGCGCCCTCTCCACCTCGCCTCCGCCGTCGGCGCCGCATGTCGAGCCCAGCCCGGAGGAGACTGAGGTCAAGCCGGGGACCGACGCGCTTCTCCATCGTCTTCGGCAGCACGAAGCTCTCGCGGGGCAGGACGCGGGCGAGGAGCGCCCGAAGGCGGCGTGAGGCTCGACGGCAGGAGCTGGGGCGAGGTCTGGGGCCCGAGGACTCGACTGCGAAGCATCTGAGGGGACTCGAGCGCGAGGCGGACAGCCCGCGGCGCAGCTTGGTGGAGCAGCTCGAGAAGTACGAGGTCACTGGTTGGAAGATCGGGCCCTCGTAGGCGCGCCTCGCTCCAGAGGTGCTGGCTCGCCTGTGCCGCCACAACACGACGGCTACAGTCGGGGCGTTGACCTAAGGAACTCTAAATAAGGAACGAGGCCCCTTTTTTTCCATAAGTTAAACTTCGATTTCCTATCGAAGACATAAGGAAAACCTGAGGCAAGCTGTGAAACACTTAAGGAACGCGGAGCCCCTCCCCAACCAAAAGAGTTCCTTCTTCAGGGCCCCGACTGTACATCAAGTCAAAGGAGATGAGCTCGTCGCACGTTGCGGGTGAGCTTCGCCTGTTGGCCGCCGTCCTCGACCGCATGGCGGCGACGAACATCGAGATGATTAACTCAGAGGCGGTCGAGATCATCTGCAGGCGCATCTACGGGTTGTTCAGCGCGTGAGAGAGCGTCAACCAGATGAGCGACTGGAAACAGCCAAAGGGAGAGCGGGGCATGAAGTGGCGATCCAAGGTTCGCTGGATCCTGGCTGATGAATGCGATGCCCTCGCTCTTGAAGGCGGCGACCTGATGATCAAGGAGGCGGATGAGGAGGCGAGGAAGCGCCTCGAGCGCAAGCCTTTTTCGCGAAGTCCTTGGACAAGGCCAACCCAGGGCCAGAGGTCCGGGCGGACAGGACGACGAGTGACGGTCACCGGCCTCGCCTTCGGCAGGTGAGGAGCGGGAAGTCCCCCTGGGGGGCCGAACGCTGCTCGGCAAGCTCTTCAAGTTCAGCTGCGAGTTTTTGTGGTGCGTTTCGCTCTTCATGGATTGAGGCGCCGAAATTCAGTGCCTCGGCATTGTGCGTGCTGGAGCCCGCGAGCGTCAGCGTCATCATCGGTCGCGTCTGCGCGGAGCCTGACGCAGTTAGGGGGACGCGCCCGACTTAAGCCGAGGTCCCCGGGCTTCCTGTCGGAGAGTTTTTGGGGAAGGAGCCGCACGGCGAGCTGATCCTCGCCCTGAGGAGGGGGAACCGCTCGGCGAATGCAACCGTGGCGATGCCTCGTGGGCCATTGTCGGGCCTGGGGTCGACGCGTCCCAGACACCTGACGTCTCGATTTTTTCGAGACGCGGGCCCCCGACCCCCCGACCACTTCCCCGGGGCCAGTCTTCCCTCCCGAGTCGTTCTGTGACGGTCCCCAGGCCCGGCGAGGGCCCCGAGAGGCCGACAGCTAGGAAAAACCTCCGTCCCGACTTTTTCGAGGCGCCCGATGGAGGGAGGAGGGAGGAGGGAGGAGGGAGGAGGGAGGAGGGAGGAGGGGTTGGAGAGGCTCCTCGAAGGCCTGGGAGAGTGCCGCGGCTGCCCAGAGGGGGAGTGGCTTCGAGAGCGTGGAGTCCGTGGTGGAGCTGGCGGGCCTGTGGGGGGGGCTGCTCCTCCTCCTCCCCCTCCTCCTCCTCCGCCTCCTCCTCCTCCTCCTCCTCCTCCTCCTCCTCCTCCCCTCCTCCTCCTCCTCCTCCTCCTCTCCGCCTCCTCCTCCTCCTCCTCCTCCTCCTCCTCCTCCTCCTCCCTCCTCCGCCTCCTCCTCCTCCTCCTCCCCTCCTCCTCCTCCTCCTCCTCCTCCTCCTCCTCCTCCTCCTCCTCCTCCTCCTCCTCCTCCTCCTCCTCCTCCTCCTCCTCTCGCCTGGCGCGAGATTTTGGTGGGCCGTATCAGGCAGTGACTGGTGGAAGCAAGCGTGGAGCGATCTGTCGAGGCGATTCGTGTCCATGCGGGGTCGAGGACGTCGCTGTCCCAGGTGGGGAGGTGGAGCTAGTCGAGCTGAGCACAGCGTCACCGGCGGCCACGCCGTACTGGTCGTGCCCCAAGGAGACCAAGATCAAGAACGACTTCGAGGTGGATCGGGCGAAGGACGAATCAATTCGGCCGTACATACTCGGACCCAGCTCTCAGGAGTCGGCAGGTGCGGCTACGTTTGTTGAGGAAGCTGTTGGCAGGCAGGATGCTCGCCTGGACGTCCGAGGCGCACGAGTGCGTCAGTGTGTTCACGGTGGCGAAGATCGACGACAAGGGCAAGGTGATCTCCCGGCTGGCGTGGAACCTTCGGAAGGCCAGCCTCCGATTTCGAGCGCCTCCCTGGACGCTGGGTTCGCCGGCGGCCCTGGCGGCGATCGAGCTGAGCGACGACATGACGGGCAACTTGGAGGTGATCTCGTTCGTCGGCGACGTGCCGGACTTCTTTTACCGCCTGGCGCTGCCGTCCTCGCTCTGGGGCTACTTTTAAGTCGGACATGTCCCCCTACAGGCGGATGTTGGGCGAAAATTGAAAAATACCCAAAACATATGCAAAATGTGAGCAAAAATCCGCCGACCCTGTCGGCGTGTGTGAGGGGCTTCGTCCGTTCGAGTCGTCATCTCCGTCATTCGTTTGTCGTCGTCTCTGTCGTCCTCTTCCCCCCCTTCCCCAGGGACCGCTTCAGCGCGTCATTCGTTTGTCGTCGAGGCTGTCGTCCTCTTCCCCTTCTTTCCCAGGCGTTGAGGAACGCCGTAATGGAGTCGAAGGGAAGCCCCTTCCCTTCGATCCCTCTCCCGCCGGGGGGGGGGTAGGGGGGGGGTCCTGGGGGGGTTCCCGGGAGGGAGGGGGGGCTCAGATACGACGCTCTCCCAGAGATTCCCGGAGCTCAAAAGAGTTCCAAAAAGGGCCAAGTGTGGTCTAATATGCCCCACAGACAGTCCACGAGAACCCCGACTCGCCTGACGATCTGTCCAAGACGCCTACACGGCTTCCAGACGGCCCAAGAGGCCTGCAAGACGCCCCAAGAGGCATCCAGGAGCTTTCCCACGAGAGCCCCAAGAGGCAAACATCGTAGATTTCCATACGTTTTTGCAGGGTTCTAGCGCTCTTGCCCCTGACGTTTGCCAACGCGCCAAGACGGCCCAGGAGGCCCCCAATATCGCCTCGAGACACCCCAAGAGGCGCCCAAAAGCGTCCCCCAACGGCCCAAGAGGGCCCCAAGACGGCCCAAGACGCTTCCAGGACGTCCCCAGAAATCCTCGGAGGCTTCCAGAGAGCCCACCCAAAAAAGACCATGAAAAATGAAACATCGACTCGAACCCCGATCCTCGATCCTCCTCCTCTTCCTCCTCTGCCTCCTCCTCCCCATCCTCCTCCTTCTCTGTTTCCCCCTCGCTCGTCGTCGTGTTTTTCCCCCGCACCACCCTGAAACCTGCATGAGCCTCCCAGAACCCCCCCGCCTCTTCCCTCGGCCCGCCTCCTCAAACGCTTCAGCCAGAGGATAATCGAACAACAGCGTAATCGACTCGAAGGGGACCCCGTTCCTGTAAT